CCATCATCCAGCCTGGGGAGGTGGCTCCAGGCCACAGAACGCTCTAGTCCTGCATCCCTCACATGTGTGGGCCCATCACAACCTCTTTTCTTCTTTTATTATTGAAACTTACACTCTCCGTGCCTGGAAACCCTGCGTTACCCAGTGAACACTGGCTTCTGTGCTCCCTCACCCAGGAAGACTGCCTGTCCCTCCTTTTTTGCTCACTCCAGAAATAAGCCATGCCCTTATTCCTTCTTAGAAAAGACCCAAACCCAGATCCATTTTTATGCACTCTATGAGGTAATATTGAGTTACCTCCGTAGCTGTAAGTCTGTAGTCAGCACAAGAGAAGAAACATAGCCCAGAGCCGGACAGCCAGGAGTGGGTGTCACATGAGATGGCACTACTTTTTAGGATGTGAGCACTAATGTGATTTTCTGCATGTATGTGTGCAAGTGTGTGTGTGTGTGTGTGTGTGTGTGTGTATGTGTGTGGTGTGTGGCTGGCATGTAGACAGGGCTGTGTGTGGGGCCTATACTCAGAAGCTGTGTCAGATGCAGAGTTTCAAACTTGAAGAGGTAAGTGAGGACCACTGTGAAACCTCCAAAGGAGAAAGAAAGAAGGAGATGAAGAGAAAGGAGGTTGAGGTAAGAAGGCAGAACCAAGGCTGTGTTGATTGGAGTTGGCACTGTGGGCCAGACTGGACTGGTAAGGGAATTCTGGCAGAGAACTGGGGTGCAGGGAAATCCCGTGTAGGTCTTCCAAGGAGGCTGCAAGATGCTATCTCCCCACTCCCCTTTATAATCTGCCCTGAACCTCTGCCAGGCTGCAGTCAAATAGTCCAACAAATGTTAATTGGTCATGTGACTCAATCTATGGTTTCTGGATTGGAGCATCTGGATAACACTCTGCAGGGCTGACAACACTAGCAGAAATGCTTTTCGCCTCCTGGAGTCACCCAGCACTTCATTGTGATTGCATGTACACTTTTGCTTGTGTGTACACTCACAATAAGACACAGATCACACATACATGGAGAGGTCTCACATACATACACTTTGAACACAGTCACATGCACACTCATACATATTTACTCACAAATGTTCACACTCAAAACTGCACAAAATAAGGGTCTCCCCAGGTAGAGATTTTCCTGAAAAGTTGTCAGGGATATGTAGCATGCTTGAAAGTTACAAAACCTGCCCTCTGAACAATCCAACAGACTTTTCATAGTGCTTTTTTCAGCATTTGTAATGTGAGCCAGATTCTTCTATAAGGCAATGGAGGTGGCAGAAGTGAACAGACACTGATGACACCACTGACCATGGTTGGGTTGCTTGGAGGGTGGAACCTGGAGTGGTATGGTTCATAACATCCATATCTCATGTAGAAGAACATCAAATACACCTGAATACAACTCCCTGTGATAAGAGAACAAGGTCCAGGCTGATGAGGCTCTCTAAAGTCCAGGCTGTCCAAAGTTATACCTCAGATAGGAATTTGTGTTCCATGACTTCATTCCCTACAGATGGGATGGAGAAGCCACTGTCCCTGTCATGAGGCCTCTCTGGATTAAAAAAATCTATATATGGAGCTTGAATGGGAGACTCTCCCCCTACCAAATTCTTTCTTGCTCTGCGTGGTACCTAGCCCTGCCACTCTGTGGAACAGAGCAGTCCCAGTTCCTCTGAGCCAGCCTCTTGACTTTTCTGCTCAACCCCCTTTGGTGCTGGCATATGTATGCCTCCAGTGATGTGTGGAACATTCTTGACTCACACTTCATCCCAGGGGCAGGATCCTGACAAAAAATAAGGTTCCCAGATCCTGACCAGACACTAGTCTTGGAGCAAAGTCTGTAGCTGCCCTTGCTGGATGGGGTGAAAGCTGTGTGACTTGCAGCTTCCATAACAATCCTTCCCCATGCCCTGTACCCTGACCTGGCTGGGGGTGTCTTCCACACCCTCTCCAGAAGCCTCTTTGTCTTGTTTGAACATAAAACCTAGATGCTGACTTGGGTTAGGGGTGCTTCCCCACTTTTAGATGACCCCAAGAGAACTAGGGACAGTTTCTGAGAACAAAGCCCCCAAAAGTGTTTGGGAAACGGGAGGGAGGTGATAATCCCAGCCTCAGGAAAACAATCTGAAGGGCATATTAATATGACATAAATGGATGGTGCCAGAAAAAGGGACAGTTCAATGGGATGAGCACATGTTTGCACCACACAGTCTGCTGACGACCTCAGGGAGTGACTCCTGAGCACATAGCGGGGAGGAGCTCCCAAGCACCACCAGTTATCATCCCCAAATAATAATAGTCATTACAAATGATTAAGACTAATGGTGTAACATCTTTAGATCTCAGCACTAGCTGAGGGTCACCCTATTACTCTTGCCTCTGTTGCCCTTTCACTCTTGCTGCCAGCAAAAATTCTGGGTACAACAGAATGACTTGTTTCACATACAGATACTCCAACCCAACATTGGTCCTGTGAAGTCCTGGAAGGTTGAGGAGACTTCGGCAATCTACATTTCTGCCAAAGTGGTCTCTTCTCTATCCCAACTGCCTTCTCCCCCAGCACCAGAGGCAATGGACAACTGGGCAGTGCACCTGGACTATGGTTTAGGGGCATGAACTGGTGTGGGGGAAGTGAAGTACCAACTGTTCTTCACCCTCCTTGGCCACTGGACAATAGGGCCCTGATGTCTATGGAAGGAACAGGAGGGGCAAGTTACCTCATTGACTGGACCAGGGTGTACCAACCTGAAACTTGAGGTATACTGGAGCCTCATATTTGACACTAGTCCCACTTTTGTAACCCATGAGGAGTTAAAAACAGGCTGAAGGGAACGATCAGGGAGTAGAGAACAGGAAAATCCAGAGATTGTATGCTCCTTGTCCTAGGATAGATGCCCTCAGTTGCCCACTGGCAGACTCACAACAGGGGCAGAGCCAAGGAGACCCTTGAATGATCCTTCGACAGGTCCTTTGACTGATATGGGGCCCATTGGACAGGGCAGAAAAGAAAACCCCAGGGCACATGCAGTATAATGAGAATTTTTAGAAGTTCTCAAAATTCACTTGGGCCTCCTTGTTTCATTATACTGGAAAGTCTTGACTATCCCCCTTAATGAAAAGAAAATTAATAAAAACCTTATCACACAGTAGGCCCAAGTTATTACCCTCAAAAGTTCTGATTTCCTAGATGGACTGTTAGAACTCATTGAGTCAGGGAAGACCAAGACACAAAATCTGGATAATGAGGTCTGCTCAGGGTACCCTTCTTTCTTACCCCAATTCTTTCATCTGTCTCTTCCTCACTCTCCACACAGCTGCCTGCTTATTCCCAGAAGCCATTTTATGAGAGTTCTGGCCCTGGGCTTGGTCCTTCCATACACCCTAGTAGATGTATCACCTCCATGAAATAGACAAAGAAACTCAAAACCAGAGAAGTGATTAGACTCACTCAGGTCCTACAAGAAAAGCATACTCACACATCCTTAGGAAAATGGAGAGAAAGGGGAGACCCGGGACTTGCTGTGGGGGTCAGTAAGTTAGAGAATGGATGGCTATTAAAATTGGCAATACTCAGCTAGAATGGGGAAGTGGGCAGATGGGAACTGAAGACAGAGCAGAGCCTGCTTCAGCTAAACCAGGCCTTGGCATCAAGAGGAATGTCCAAGGAGCAAAGACCTGTGTCTGAGTTCTGGGCTCTGATCTGTGTCCAGATTGTGTCTATCTCTTGGCCAAGTGGCTCATTGTTGCAGCCTTCCCAAGTTCTGCCAACAGATATCTGAAACTACCCTCTGAGAACTTCTGTTTGCTCTACTGCTCTGAAAAGATTCCTTAGCCTCACACATCTTCAGTGCCTCAGTTAGATTTTTATGCCATATCACACAGTATCTGGTCAGCCCAGGACTCCAGTAAGTGTTGATCACAGGTACAAAGCCACCAAACCAGTACTGGTGCAGAAGATTCTACGTCAGTGCTTACAAAAGGCAGGAAAGAAGATCTGACAGAGAATGTCTAGGCTTCTGGGGAGGAGTCAGAAGATGGGTTAACCTCATTCCAATGAAGGTGCCTGGAAGGTGGCACCTCATACCACTAATTCTATAACTCCTGGGAAAAGGCCCTCAGAAATCCTTTGTCTGTTTTCAAACTTTGGGTACACTAGAATGACTTGTTTCACATACAGATACTCCAACCCTACGTTGGTTCCTGTGAAGAAAATGCAGGAGACTTCAATAATCTACATTTCTGCCAAATCTGTCCCTTCTCTATCCCAACTGCCTTCTCCCCCAGCACTCAAGGCAGGCTTCCAACTGCGGACCAATTCTCTGGCCTTTATTTCTACTGTTCTTGGATATGCCCAAAAGGAGAAAGACAGAGCAAGAAAGAGGGACAGAGAGAAAGAAAGTGCCTGCCATAGAGAAAGACAGCAGGGAGGGTTGTGGGAGGGAAATTGGGGACACTGGTGGTGGGAAATGTACACTGGTTCGGGTGTTGGAATACTGTATGACTGAAACCTGACCATGAACAGCTTTGGAACTCTGTATCTCACAACAATTCAGTAAAACAAACAAGCAAACAAACAAACAAAAATGTATCTCAACCACAACAACAAAAAGAATCTGCATTTCCAACATACCATGAAGCCCCCTCCCCCTCCCCCTCCTTTTTTCTGATATCTGGAGAATCTCACTTTAAACCAAAGAGATTCCGGTAGAATGTCACTGAACAGATGACACATAAAAAACAGTGAATTGTGGCCTCACAGCCCCTCAAGCATAGCACCAAGGCCAGAAGCCAGTGGAGAATACCAGCCTCAAGCAGGTCTCTCTGGTCCTGGTACCTTCCTGCAGGATGAGAGGGAGAGCCAGCCACTGTAGGAAATTCCTATGCATGGGATCCAACACAGAGACTTCATGACCACTACCCACCCAAGGCCACCTGCACCCCAATGCCAGCTTCCTGCTGGCCACATATTGCCCTCCCCACCAGACAAGGGAACTCTCACTCACCGTAATCCTTCTTGCAGTACTTTTTCATGTTAATCTTCAGCTTCCCTTTGGAGGCCTTGCAGTAGGAATCACAATCTGCCAGGGGAGGGAAAAGCACAGACAAAAAAACTAATTAGGCTCGCAACAAATAGGCTGGAGGGAGGCACAGGAGGCCCACAATACCCAGAGGCTTGTGATAGCCATGGGCCACACAAACCAGCAGTCATTCAGGGTAGGCTGGGCCTTCTAAAGAGGCCCCTGGGACAAAACATGCCCCATCCACCCCCTCTGGCCTGACAGATCCTTGAGCCGCTGCCTGCAGCCCTCCTGGTCTCTGCGAGGGACTTGGCGGCTCCTCTATTATGCCACCCAGGGCTTCTGAGCACCACACAAATTCCCCCTGTTCTTAAGACACAACTGGAGCCTGATTAAAGCTGATAGAGGCCTCATTGTCACCCTCACTCTGGTTCTGTGTCAGGCGCTGGCTTTCATGGTGTGGAGCCTCTGGCTGGGGTCAGACCCCAACAAAAGAGGTCACAGAGGAAATTAGCAGCCCATGAAGCATAAGAAAACCCCTTTGGTGTCCACTCTACTGGAGTGTGCAAATAAAATGCCCCACGAAGAAGAGTTCAGTTCTAATGGGCCCTACTGCTGAGAGGAATGGATGCTGTGCCTGTAGCCGCTGGATATCACTGTGAGGAATCCACAATGTGGGTATCTCTATGGGGCTTCCCACAGCCTATGCACAAGAAGTGAAGGATGTGCAAGTTTCTGAGACCTGCTTGCTGTGGGGCTTGATTCTCCTGAGGATGGCCTGGATTAACCCACCACGTGCAAATACCCACCCTGACAGTTATTTCCACTCTTTGGACACAGAGCTGCAGTTCTATTCTGAATTCCATTTGAGATACTCAGCAAGATGACAGGCCACCCCAGAACCTCAAAAAGCCACTCCAGACTGCCTTCTTAACACTGGACCTCATCCAACTTTCACAACCATTTTTGATGTGTGGGTTCTCACATCAAAGTAGATGATGGATATATTCTTATTCTGCAGTTAAGAAAACTGGGCCACCTATCCAGTGCATCTGAGATGCTAGTCCACTTTAATTAGGGTCTCAGATGCCATACTCAGATGAACACTGGTTTGTGCCATGTCACACTGGCAGTAAATATCCCCAGCTGTTTACTCCTCCCTTAAATGCAAGCAGCATTAAGCCCATATTTTTCTCTGAGCAGTGCTAGCATAGATTGGTAGAAGTGGTCGTGGGGGGGGGGGTGTGCCAGTGAGTAACACAATGAGAGAGAGCAGATGGGTGGAAGGGAAACAGGGCTTGTGCATGCATGTGCATGTGAGTATACATACACATACACCAATACGCATACACATAGGACCCATACTGCAGAGAGGTAAAACAAGGTCAATGTGGAAGTTAGAGTATATGGAAACTCAGGGCAAAGCCAGGACAGGAGGCTGGGCCTCCCATAGTTGCCTGCCCCAGAGCTCACAGTTTAGTTCTGAGGGACTATTCAGAGGACATGACCCCAGAGTCAGCTTCTGGTATCTAAGGTGGCTGTCTCCTTTGTAGTCCCAGGATAAATTGAACCTCAGATTTCACAACAGCTCCATCCTACTGTTCTAGGAGACCTAAGCCTGGAAGTTCACTGTTGTCTTCAATACCAGCTTCTAGAGGACCATAGATTATTAGTCTCTTTAAGATTCCTTCACTTAATCACTTAATCACTTAACTTCCCGTTAGTCGTCGATTTGCTCGAGCGGGCGCCAGTAACGTCTCCATTTGTCCCTGTCGCGTGCTAGTGTAGCCCAATGGCATCTCTTCGCTCCGGGAACATGGAGGGCCTCAAACCGATCGTTCATGACCTTGACAAAGAAGTCTGACCTTAAAGATTCCTTAAAGCACTGAAAACCACAATGCAGACCCTCCTGATGGATGGTTTGGTTAGTGGGGGAGGGAATCTCCTGGGATACAGGAAAGGGGCCATATAGAAAGGTTTTATTCTACCCTAACCAAGCTCAAGAGATGGAGGAGAACCAGGTGAAGGTAGTCTAAACACACAGATCAAGTGCATTGGCATCCCACAGTGGCACTTACTGTCCTCTTACTGTCTAATCAGAGGGTGGTAACTGCTTCAAATACTACTTGACAAATCATATGTGTCTTCATGCAGATCAAGAACTCAGTCAAGGCAGCCCCTAACACAACACTGGGGAGGCATGGCACTGATCTTTGACTCTGCCAATGACCCCTATTTTATATTAAGAGAAAACTGAATCTAGATTCCTAATGCCCCATTTCTCACAGAAGATTCACCAAGCAGTTTAATACAAACTCTGATATCTGATTCCTACCAAAGAGGTTTTCATTTCATTGTTTCAGAGGCTGCCACATGGCCAGATTTTTTAAGCTCCCCTGGTGATAATAAAGTACCATCAGGGGCAACACCACTGTTGAACAAATATACCTGGGTGGATATACAGAGATGGGATAGTATCCCTGTGGTCTTACACAGAAGCCTCAGCAGCGAAGAAGAAAAGCCCAGATCAGCGGTTATTGACTCAAACTAGTGTTCATGCAGATATACTCAAGTGCAGGAAACAGTGAGCACTGGGATTGGCATTCATGTTTTTGACTGGGGGTCCTGCACCTCTACTTTCTGTAAGCCAGGTCAGTGTGCTGGTGTAAAATGTCCCTTATTCCCTTATGATCTGCCAATTATAATTTAGCTAAAATCTAGGAAAACAGAAAAACCAAGCCTGTTAGAATTGTATGTAAAACATGGATAAACTGTCTTGGAGTAAAGAGACTGAATGTACTCCTTTGGGTAAAGTGAATAACCTTTAGAACATGGACACTGTGGCAGTTTTCTGGCTGGTTGTAGACTCTTTGTTTTGGTTGTATTCCAGAGAACTGAGGTCACTGAACAAGTGGTCCCTGGATAAAGAAATTATTTCTGTGTTTTCTATTTTTATCAAATATACAAAGCAACGGAAAATGCATCAAGATGAAGATGAACAAACTACAGCTTTAAAATGCAGCTTTGGCTCCTTCAATATGGCATCTACTTGGCAGCCACCCAAGTTGTCTCTACTTGTTTTATTCAAAAAGAACTATAAAGACAAAGGAAAAAATGAAAAAAAATCACACTCATGCCAAAAAACTATACTGATAGATGATCCAATGCCGGAATCTGGGAGCAATCTCTAGTAACTAAAGGCAGATGGTGGTGGAACATGAAAAACCTATGCAGGTTTTACCTCAGGACATAACTCTATGTTTAATGAACAGAAAGCCCTAAAAAGCAGGGAGGAAAGATGTAACAACCAGAAAACAAATGGGCAGGTAGTGGGCAAGGTCCATATGACAGTGCCCTTCCAGGAAGGGAAAGCTATGGGAAGGTAGAGAACTGCAGTAACGGCAGTGGGTATTTGAATTGGCATGTATATATTTTTTCTAAATCAGTGAGGTAGAGAATAATAAAATTCAGGGGTAAGGATGAAATAAGGTGAATCAAGGGAATAGACTGGGAGGAATTAAGATTCAGAGATGGGACAACAAACATTTCCCTGCTGGGAGTTAAGATGGGAATCTAGCTGTCATGCTAGAACAGGGATCTGAAATTTTGTTTTCAAAAAGCCAAACAGTAAATATTCAGGGTCTGCAGGCTATAAAAGGTCTCTATCCCAATTATTCCAACTGTGTCTGTAGTTTAAAAAAAAAAACTAGAGAAAATATGTAACCAAATGAGCAAGGCAGATTTAAATGTTTTACAAAGGTATGACCTCTAGGAAGGAAACTCAAAGGGGAAGATTGGACTGAATATCATGATACAAAAGGGAAACCTTTGAGAGAAAGAAGAATCAGAGAGACAAAAACCAAAACCAACACCCAAAAATCCAGGCCCGAAATAAAAGACACTTTAGAAGCAATGAAGAGACAGGCTATCAAAGAAAACAAAGTTAAAAACATGTAGAATATATTGTAGAAACTCACAAAATCATAGAGAAAAGGGAAAGGAGAGAAAAAAATAACAAAACCATAAGGAAATGGAGAGATACCACCTGGCTGCAACACCTGTAGCAAAGGCCAAAGAAATGGAAATAAGGATCAAAGATGCAACCCCACACCCCAAAATAAATCAAAGATAGGATTCCTGATCTAAAGACTGATATACATATGCACAAGAAAAGGGTTGCAGATTATAAAGATATAGGGAACTGGAGAAATAGTACAGTGGGTAAGGCCTTCCTTGCACCTAGCCAATCTGTTTTTGCTCCGGGGCAGTGTGTACAGTCACCTCAGCACCACCAGGAATGAGCCCTAGAAACAATAAACCAACACAGCAAGCACAATGGCCAGCTACAAAGTCTACACGTAAAAAGCTGTCTCATTCTTATATGCATAGAATGAATCAGAGGAGGAAGCAATCAAAAGTCACACAAAAGTCAATTCAAAGTGGATCAAAGACCTTGAGATCCAACTAGAAACTACAAAGTATTGAGGGAAACCTTATAGGCAGAATGTTTCAAGATTTTGACTTCAAAGGTGTCTTCAGTTATCTGATACCACTGACAAAGTCAACACAATAAAAACCAACAAATGGAACTACATAAAATTTAAAAACATTTGCATGCCAAAAAAAGAAAAAAGAAAAAAAATACACGAGCTAAAGCTAGCTGAATGAGAAAAATATTTGCATTCAATATGTCAGGTAAAGGGTTTAAATCCAGGTTATTATATACAGGAGTCACAAAGACCAACAAAAAATAAAAATTCAAATACCCTATCAAAGAATGGGGAGAGGAAATTAATATACACTTCTCAGAGGAAGACAGGTGCATGACCAGAAGGCACATGAAAAAATGCTCAAAATTAGGAGAAACAATCTGTGTTTGCAGACATGTGATGAGAAAGGAACGCTCATCTGATGCCAGTGGGAATGTTGTCTGGTACAACCTCAGTGGAAAACAGTATGGAGAGTTCTCAATAAACTTAGAATTAAACTGCCATATGACCCAACAATCAACCCTCAGGATATAAAAACACTCCCAAAAGGACATTTGCATATCATTACTG